ATCGTCTGGACATTGACAGCATCAAATGCCTGGGATGCGAAAGCTCTATGGAGATTTTAAGGGGCCTCTTACTGGGGAAGGATTGGCCGCAGGCGGGAGGCATACATTATATTCAGCCAAGGCAGGTATTAATATGCCTTATTCTCCTTTTCCTGTCTTCTGAAAATAGATTCTAACTTTTTACCCATAACCTGGGAGAGAATCCCAGGGTGGGCTAATCACAGTGACTGCTTATTCTGCTCCCTTTAAAATCCTTCTGGAAAAATAAATGTTCTTTTTCTTATTGGTCCCTAAAGTAGAATGAAGTGTATTCAGAGCTGCATGTGACCTCTGGCTGCTCACTTAACCACCTTCCTAAAAGTAGCTACACTTGGCTGGGGGAGGGGGCACAGACAGAGCAAAGTAGAGATTCAAGAAGGGGCCAGATCCACAATATAGTTGCATGTAAGGACAGTTCTCCTGAAAATGAGTCTGCACATGATAATTAATAAACATTATTTTGGTCTTTGAAAAGTTCAAGTCTTAACAATTACTAAATGTAAATCAAAAATTGTCACTTTTGAAATAACTCCCTAAGCAACTTTTTCACATTCAAGTTAATTTAAAGGAAAAATAAACTTTATACATCATTTAAGAGATGATAATCAGTCTAAGCTTTCTAAATGTCTTTATCTTTAAAAAAAAATCAAAGAATGGCTTGAAAGTTACAGTGGTATTCTGTTTTAGAAGAATCAAAATGACCAAAAATTTTTTGACCTTATATTAAAAGAGATTGGAATTTTCTCAAAAAGTCAGGCTAAAATATATTAACAGTAAAAGGACACCAAACATAATTTAATCTTTTTTTGATGATCAGAAAGTCCTTCAGTGTTTTGCTGTGCTCAGTTTTTAATCAAGCAGGAGAAGACAGGTTATTTTTTTCCTATGTAAAAAGAGAACTGATGGATATTTTATATTGTGAAATATCATGCAATATTACAAGAAATGAATACCCAATGAAACATATTCTTAAATCAAAGTAACCTTTCCTTATATCAATATTTCACTTAATTTATGCCATTTCCAGTGCTCCATTTTTGTGGCTCTTATTTTAAAACATTATTAAACCAGGTGATGAAGAAAAGCCAAATGGTACATAGTTTTGAACTTTGTTTGCCCTCACCCTATGTCTTATGATATTCAGTCTTGTGGGAGATCCAAACAATGTCAGTTGAGCACCTACCTACTATGGTAGGCACTAAATGACACACAGAACAACTTAAAGATGTTGACTTAAAGTCTTTGTTCATTCAACATTCAACCAATATTCCTTGAATATCCTACTTGTGCCAGTAATCATTCTAACCCAAAAATGATAAATCAAACAGAAAAGTCCTTGTTCTCCTGCAGCTTACATTTTAGGGAGGGAAACAGTCATAACAAGGAAACATAAAATATTAACAGGGCCATTTCTCAGTCAATATTCCTGTTATGGAGGGGTGAATGAATCACAGGTTTATTTGAACCTTCTCAAAGCAGAGGCGAAGCCTTCCTGAAAACTTGCAGTGGTATCTCGTCCATTAGAGAATGCTCAGTTGCTGGATGCCCTCAAAGAGAGTTCTGTGTCTCACAGAACTTATTGGTTCAAATAGCCTCAGGTTCAAAAGCTGCTGCCCATGGGTGGAAGAAAGACCAGTGCAAGCTGATAAGCCCCAATTGGGCTGCTTTCCTCACAACCTCACTTTAGTTTATCTTGAAGAAGCTTTCTTACAATAAATCCTTTTGATGTTTAAAACTATATAATAACGTGTGGAGCATCCTTGTGGCCAGCCAGCATCCTCCTATCGGGAGCTCTGATGATCCACTGAGCCCTGCTTTTCTGTATTTGTGTGTGTTTGTCTTATTTCTTATCTTCTCACTTGCCCTAGTTCGGGAAACTGAGGAAAATTGTGTGGATTGTGACAACTGGGATGCACACAGCCATATTAGAGGGATGGTCAGTAAAGGGCTTTTGAGTTGAGGACTGAGATGAGAAGGCACTGCCCACTGGAAAAATGGAATGGGGAATTGAACGGAAGCTGGTAGGTGGAGGTAACATCATGCACAAAGACACTGAGATAGGAATAACAGAAGGCCTTTGTGGTAGGAATTTCTTGACAGGATGAGAATAGTATCCAGGAAAATGACAGAAGCAGCAATAGTCATCTCCCTGGGAACTGTCAACACTGTGGGAGTTTAGGTTTTACTATAGGTGTAATGGGCACTGAAAGGCTTACAGAGGTGTGATAAAACTATCTTATACTTCACCAAGGTGCTTCTGACCCTTTTATAGGGATGAAATAAGGGTGTTAACGGTGAAAGCAAGGACTTCACTTAGGTGAAATAATGTGGCTTGCATAACATCCACGAGATGCATGACATGGATAGTTCTGAGCTAGAACCACCAGGACTGGTGAATGGTCAGATGCAGTCGGGCATAGAGAAAAGGAGACATTAAGTATGATCCTTAAATTACTGGTTTGAAGTTCTGAACTTTAGCGCAGATGAAAAAGCCTGGTAAAGAAAACAGTGGGGGCGGGGGGAATAGAGAGGTTCAGTTTTCATATATTACTTAAAAAAATATCCAGTAAGCAACCTATTAGTGAAGACATCAATTGTGCCACTGATGCATGAGTCTAGAATTCACTGAAGAGGTTAAGGATAAAGGTATAAATTAAAGACCCTTAAACATGTAATGGAATTTAAAGTCAAGTGGCTAGGTGATTTCAAAAGTAAAGAAAATACGATAGATAAATACAAAGGGGCAAGGGACTGACCTGTAGCCACAAGGCAGTGTGGTTTCCTGCCAAGAAAAGGCAGTGTTCCAAAAAGAAAGAGCAACCAACTGTCATGAATCCTTCTGTGAATTTGTGTAAAGGAGCCCACTCTGGTTGTGACAATGAATAAACCACTGGTAACCTTGACAAGAGAGTTTCCATCAAGGCAGCCAGGATAAAAGTCAGACTTGATTGGGTTGAATGAACAGAATATGAAAAAGTAGAGAGATGTGATGAACATCTCTCTCTAAAGGTTTTGGTGGTATAGCTAAAAGAAAAATGAGGAAGCAGCAGAAGGTATGAGAGATATAAGGAGAGGGTTTCTTGTTTGATTTTTAATGGGCCATATTTAAGCATGTGTTTGTGCTGTAGAAAATAACCTGTAAGAAAGCACTGAGAAGGCACGTGGTGATGAATACAGAGACAAATGGAGAAAGAACCTTTGAGAGGGGCTGAGGCATTGTTGCCAATTTAACAGGGTGGGATGGAGGAGTGGAGAGAGAAAGAAACAAACAACCAAAAAGTAGGTATAGATACAGTCAGATTTATAGATTTGTTGTGAGAAAGGTGAAATCATTCTTCCTGGTATTTAAAATTTTTTATAAAGTATGAGGTAAGGTCTGCTACTGAGAGTAAAGAGAATTAAGGACAAAGGTTTAGAATTATGAGGGAGAAATTAAAGTAATAAATAGTCATCTTAGAAAATGGAAAAAGCAAATTTGCAGATTATGATATGATTACTGGGCCAAAAAGACAGATATATTCCTCAGTATTAATATTTTGGGAAACCAAGATTAATTAGTAAAAATGAAAGTATAAGATGATTTGCAAAACTGGAAGAGATTATATAGTTAAACATAACCATGTAGGTTGTATAGATTATCTTAGAGTTGAGATCCATCTTACCATGCTTCTTTTTGAAAAATTAGTAAAATTTGATTTGTTTCATGAAAAGCCATTCTTAAACTAAATTGTGCTTCATAGGTACTGTTTTTAAATTGGAATTTTCCAGCTTTGATTTTCATTTTGACTAATGAACATAAGTTAAGGAAATGTATACTCTTGTGTAAACACTTAATTTCCATGAAATATCAGATACAATAGATAAAATTTTGCATGTTTTCTCCCTAAAAAATACTGTGAAGATTAATAAACAAAAAGATTAATTAAACAAATATAGATGGATGCTTACTCTGCAATTAAAAAGGAACACATGGCTCCACTCTCATTCTTTAAAAATTTTATGTTAAAGAATCAAAATTAATGGTTATTTTTAAAAATTTTGATAATTCTATTTCATTATGAATAAATAAAGAGATTTTATTAAGGAGTTTCTCAAACTTAATTTCAAGGGAATTGACATTAGAAATTAAGGTAAAAAACAACATACAACTTCTAGTTGGTTATGGGCAGACTCTCTTGTCAACTTCCTGCTGACTGAAAGTCTATGCTTCAAAATGCACGTTGTCAGCACTGCTTTGGTATTCTGTAACTGTGCTGTGAACTACATTGGAAATCCAGTCAACAATTCAGCTTCAAGACAACTTAAATTTTTTAGTAGGGAAAAAAATGCAAAGTGACAAAGGTGAACAACTGTAAATTACAAGTAGCAGAGTTAGGTTTTGTCAAACAATTTTAAAAAATCATCCCCAACACTATTGGGATTATATTGAGGATGAAAAACAGCAAGGGACATGTGACTTTCAAAGACATTTAAACTAAGAAAATATGTTTATTAAATATTAATTAACTGTAAAACATTCAAATTTTAAATGTACTTTATGCCTCAGTTCAAACATAATGAAAGTGAGATTGGTACAATTTTCCTGAATGGTACACATTGAGTGTAGGACATTTAAAATGAAACTCAAGATTTTCAAATTTTATTTGTTCATTGTTATTTAGTGGCCATTAATGAGAGTACTATCCTTACATGTTGTCTTGTTAAATTATTTTGAAATTTATCACCTTTGGCTTATTTGGGGGCCCACCAATGAGTTGTGCATATAAATATTTCTAACAGAAAAGTTATATTCAAAGTTAAACAATATATACATATTTTTTTACAAAAGATCAGAGATGTTTTCCAAGACAGAAAAAAAGAGCCACTGCAGACCCTCCAGGAATAACAGGAGCTGCTGCTTTTTCCACCCCTTTTGATCACTCCTTAATATATATTTATCTTGTTTCTGTCTTCTCTGTGCTTAGGAATTGATCTCCACAAGGTTACCAGAAACCTCATCAAATATATTAAATGTTTTTCAGCCTGAATCTTTACTGGAATTCTCTTCAGCTCTTAAGACTGGTAAGTACCTCCAGTTTCCCGAAACCCTCCAGAGCCTTGGAGATATAGATACCACTTTCCTGACTCTCTTGTGTGTGTGTGTGTGTGTGTGTGTGTGTGTTTGTACCTTTTCCCTCCTCTGTTCATCTCTTACCTGTTGATGTCCCCCAGGGTCTGCACATGGTTCCCTGTTCATTTTACTTTATACACAATCCTTATGTATCAGACTCAGAATGATTTCCAATACTAAGCACATGCAGAAAATTCATAAACTGTGTGATCTGCTTCTTTCTCCCAAGTACAAGAACTGCATATCCAACTAACTTCTAGTTCCTAAATTCAATTTCTCAAAAAACAAACTTAAATTTCTCCACTCTGAATTTGTTCTACCCTAAATACATCTAAGCACCACCTTTTTGTTCCAGATGAGAAAAATGGAAGGATATTTCCTATATTTATCTCTGTCTTATCATCCATATCCAATTATTTACTAAGTATTCTCCAGTCCATTGGTTCTCAAACTTGATTGAGCATTTAAATTACATAGTTAAAAAATAATCCCAAAGATTCTGAATAAATTTGCCTCAGAGTTTTTCAAGAATCTCTAGGTGATGTTAACATGCAAACCAGTTGGAGCAGTAAGGCTCTAATCTACTTCCCAAATATCTCTTGCAAATGTTTTTGACTCTCTACCACAACTGTCTCAGTTTAGCTTTTCACCATTGCTCATCTTGATTACAACAAAAACTTCCTTATGGGCGGTCCCATCTCTGAATTCACTTATGCAATCTACCAGATCCTCCTAAAGAGACAAGTAGACTCTAATCACAATGTGCTTCCAATTCAATTTCCTAATAAAATATGTCTCTTTAATAGGCTATGCAAGACCACAATGCAAAGTTTACTCTGACCACAATGAATGACTTTGCTTCTGGAATGTAATATGCATTCTGCATTCTCTTGACCAAGTATCTATTCCTTTGGTCTGAATAATAGGGAATGGTTTCTGCACTGTAGGAGCATATGTATAATAAAGGAGACACACATAAACTGGATACAAGAATAATTACACTCACACTAACCATAGCATAGTGATCACAAAAAGGCAAGGATGATTATGCTTACCTGTGTGAATCAGGGAAGACACCAAACATACATAAGTGACACAAATGATTCTGAAATCACCTATGGCTATCTTCTATTTGAAATTGATTAGCAAAAAAGAAAAAAGAAAGAAAGAAGGAAGGAAAAGGGATCCAGCCCCCTGACTGTTTTAGGACTTCTTTTCTGAGATTCTTTGGTATCCTCTGTATTTCTCTGTTATACTATTTGTTATGTTTAATTTTGTTTACATATTTTTTAAAAGATGACTTTGGTTCTGGGATGGGGTGGGGGTTTATATCTATACACCTCTAACATCTAGTAACATACCTTGTCTGTAGTTGGGACTTAAAAAATTCTTGACCTCAAAGGAGTACTAAATTAGGTAGCTGAGAAGGGATTGCAAGCAGTGAACACTTTTATTACAAATTTCAATATCTAAATATAATTCTTTTTCTACATTACAAAGATGAAAGGACAGACAGGAGTGCAAGGTAAGGGGTTTGAGAATCTCATATAATATATAGTTTAATTTATATCAAAGAATAATAACTCACTATAGTTGTTGCTATATTTGTGCTTGAATACACATTTTCATATACATTATCTCCTTTATTTCCCACAATAACCATGAATTAGGAACCCTGTTACTAAGAATTTCCCACAATAACCATGAATTAGAGACCCCTTTACTAAGGATAATGAGGCATAGATAATTTAAGTTACTTTACAAGGGTCAAATTAATCAATGGCAGAGGCAGGGATTAAGCTCATATCTTTTGATTCCTAGTTCTTCTCTACTATATCATGACTATGCCATATTGATTTCCTATCCTTTCAATTTACATTACAGATTCTAGCAGATCTTGCATCCCCAAACCTCTTGTGGTAAGTTGAAAAGCGGAGTTTGCTCCCTGTACCCAAGCCCTTTTCCAGCTACTGTCACCAAGAAGCAGTTTATTTACCCAACCCTTGGGTTGGGCTGCCTTTGTGAGTTGTTTTAACCAATAGAACGTGACAGAATTGATGTATGCCAGTGCCAAATCAAGGCTTCAAGAGATTTGGGACTCATCTGCTTATTCTCTTTAAATCCCACTTAGCCATGCAAACAAACTCACCAAGGCTACTGGGAGACCACGTGGCACAGAGATGAGTCATCCAGTCCCAGTTCCAACCTGCCTAGGACTTGATTATACATGCAGCAAGACAACCTGAGACCAGAAGATCCTTGTGACTGAGCCCAGTTAAGCAAATTATTACTGTGAATTAAATTAATAGTTGTTTCATTCCTAAACTTGTTTTTTGTTTGTTTGTTATGCAACAAAAGCTAGCTGATGCTTCTTTCAGTAAATACAGCAGTAAGAACGAACACAACTTACATGTGCTAAGCACTGCAGGTAGCATTTCACATTCTTTCCAATCTTTAGAACAACTCAGCAGAGAAATTATTAGCTCCCTTTTACAGACAGGGAAGAAAAATATATTTCAAGATTTAAAATAACTGTTCACAGTTGTATGCTAATAAGAATACAAATAAAACTTGAATTAACTGAGTATAATACTTTGGCTTTGAATAATTATTTTTGTGCTTTTTAATCATACATTTACAGAAAACATGGATTTACTTTTAAAGATGGTGAATTTTATTCAATATATGCCAATTTTTATTATGCCGATTCTTAGAGGCTGACCTCATTCATATGTTCTTAACCAATGGGTCATTTCACAGTAGATATGTGAATAGCATTTAAGCACAGGCAGATGGATATGCCTAGGAAATCATAAATCAGAGGTAAGAATTAGTAACTGAGATCCTGAAAGAAGACACTGTCTCCTAACCACAAGGACTAAAGATAGCCCAGCGATGGACCTTCATCATCTGACCTCAAGTCATCATTCTGCCCCTTATCTTGACACTTCAAACTGAACCCCCTACAGATACTTCCTACCATGTGTACTTTAAGGCTTCCATTCTTTACCCCATTCCGGTCCTTCTTGTACCACCCTACCATACCTACAGTATGTCTCCTATCCACTCTTCCAGGTCTAACTCATAGCTAACTTATACCATACCACTCTCAATAATCTTGTAGACAGAGTCTTTAATCCACTGGGTATCCTAGTGTGGCACGTCTCCCTCTACTCCGTTCTTGTCACAGTGTTTTGCATAGATAGGTGTTTATTTGTTCCATATATTCCCTTATTCCACTCAATGGGAGAATCTTAATTTTTGTTCACATTTGGTTTCTTATCATTTGGTTCAACATTGCCTATTACTTTGTGTACATGTGATCAATGTCTACAGAAGGAAGGATAGGCTGCTGGTATTATTTTTTAACTCTCTGCTTCATGCCTATGAAGACTATAGTACTTGCTGCAGTCAACATTGCATATATGATACTACCAAGGAGAATACATAGTAACACACACAGATGACCATAACTCTTCTCTCTCTCTCTCTCTCTCTCTCTCCATATATATATATATATATATATATATATATATATATATATATATATTAGTAGTATACTATATATATATATATATATACACACACACTAGTAGACATCTAGTACTAGAGGTTGTCACATATGTAGCTTTATTTTGGGGGAACACTTTTACATTCACAGCAAAATTAAAATGAAGTGAAGGTACAGAGATCTATCATATATCTCCTGCCCCTACCCCCTATACATGCATACCTCATGAGAGGGTACAATCATTACACCTGATGAACTTACATTGATAAATCATCATTACCCACAGTCCACAGGTTATATCCCGCCTACTCAATGGGTTTGGATAAATGCATGATATGCATCCACTATTATATTATCACACAACAAATTTTGAATTCCCTAAAAATCCTGGGTTTCATCTATTCATACTGTACCCCTTGCTCACCCCCTGGCAACCACTGATCTTTCAAATTTCTCCATCTTTTTCCCTTTCTAAGAATGCCATGTAGTGGCAATCATAAGTTGTAGCTTTTGCAGATTGACCCAGTCTACTTACTAATGTGAATTAAAGGCTCTCAGCCTGTTCACTTCACAGCTTCATAGCATACTTGTTTTTAGCACTAAAAGATATCCTATGTTGCACTACAGTTTATCAGTTCACTATCCAAAGGATATCTGTCTACTTCCAAATTTTGGCAACTACAAATAAAGATGCTGCAAACATCCACGTGAAGGTTTTCAAGTATACATCAATTCTTAACTCCTTTGGGTAAACACCAAGGAATATAATCATATGGTAAGAATATATCTAGTTTTGTGAGAAACCAGCATACTGTCTTCCAAAGCAGCCAACTTTGATTCCACTGGCAGTGAATGAGTTTCTTTGCTCCATATCCTTGCCAAAAATTGGTATTGCAGTTGTTCTGAATTGTGGTCATTTTAATAGGTGTTTAGTGGTATCTCATTGTTGTTTTCCTTTGCATTCCCTGATGACATATGCTGTAGACCATCTTTTGTCATATTTATTTGCCATCTGTATATCTTCTTTGATGAGATATTTGCTCACTTCCTAATCCAGTTAAATAATACTTGGTTGTGGTATATAATATTTCCTATACATTGTTAAAATGAATTTGTTTACAGTTTGTTGAGAATTTCAATGATTATGTTAACAAGGCATTGGTCTGTAGTTTCTTACAATGTCTTTGGTTTCTTACAGTTGGATTAGCATTGTCTATCACTTTGTGTGCACATGATAAATGTCTGTAAAATAAAGATGGACTATTATTATTTTTTAACCCTCTAGTTCACCCCTATGAAGACTATGGTACTTGCTACAATCAACAGTGTAGATATGAAATTACCATGGATAGTGGTAATGTCATTGACTGGTTTGATGCTAAAGCAATACTGACCCCATAGCATGAGTTAGAAAATATTCCCTATTGCCTCTATCCTCTAGAAGAGATTATAGAGAATTAATATAAGTTCTTCCTTAAAAGTTCAGTCGAATTCACCACAGATCCCCTCAGGTCCTAGTTGTCTCTCTTTTTTTCATCTTTTTTTTTGTTGTTGTTATTGTTTTTTTATTGGTTGTTCAAAACATTACAAAGCTCTTGACATATCATATTTCATACATTAGATTCAAGTGGGTTATGAACTCCCATTTTTACCCCAAATACAGATTGCAGAATCACATCGGTTACACATCCACATTTTTACATAATGCCATATTAGTAACTGTTGTATTCTGCTATCTTTCCTATCATCTACTATCCCCCTTCCCTCCCCTCCCATCTTCTCTCTCTACCCCATCTACTGTAATTCATTTCTCTCCTTGTTTTGTTTCCCATTCCCCTCACAACCTCTTATATGTAATTTTGTATAACAATGAGGGTCTCCTTCCATTTCCATGCAATTTCCCTTTTCTCTCCCTTTCCCTCCCACCTCATGTCTCTGTTTAATGTTAATCTTTTCCTCCTGCTCTTCCTCCCTGCTCTGTTCTTAGTTGCTCTCATTATATCAAAGAAGACATTTGGCATTTGTGTTTTAAGGATTGGCTAGCTTCACTTAGCATAATCTGCTCTGATGCCATCCATTTCCCTGCAAATTCCATGATTTTGTCATTTTTTAGTGCAGAGTAATACTCCATTGTGTATAAATGCCACATTTTTTTTTATCCATTCATCTATTGAAGGGCATCTAGGTTGGTTCCACAGTCTAGCTATTGTGAATTGTGCTGCTATGAACATCGATATGGCAGTATCCCTGTAGTACGCTCTTTTAAGGTCTTCAGGGAATAGTCCAAGAAGGGCAATAGCTGGGTCAAATGGTGGTTCCATTCCCAGCTTTCCCAGGAATCTCCATACTGCTTTCCAAATTGGCCGCACCAATTTGCAGTCCCACCAGCAATGTACAAGAGTACCCTTTTCCCCACATCCTCCCCAGCACTTGTTGTTGTTTGACTTCATAATGGCTGCCAATCTTACAGGAGTGAGATGGTATCTTAGGGTGGTTTTGATTTGCATTTCTCTGACTGCTAGAGATGGTGAGCATTTTTTCATGTACTTGTTGATTGGTTGTATGTCCTCCTCTGAGAAGTGTCTGTTCAGGTCCTTGGCCCATTTGTTGATTGGGTTTTTTGTTATCTTATTGTTTAATTTTTTGAGTTCGAGGATAGCATCTTCAACAAATGGTGCTGGGAAAACTGGAAATCCATATGCAACAAAATGAAACTGAATCCCCTTCTCTCGCCATGCACAAAAGTTAACTCAAAATGGATCAAGGAGCTTGATATCAAATCAGAGACTCTGCGTCTGATAGAAGAAAAAGTTGGCTCCGATTTACATATTGTGGGGTAGGGCTCCAAATTCCTTAATAGGACACCCATAGCACAAGAGTTAATAACAAGAATCAACAAATAGGACTTACTCAAACTAAAAAGTTTTTTCTCAGCAAGAGAAACAATAAGAGAGGTAAATAGGGAGCCTACATCATGGGAACAAATTTTTACTCCTCACACTTCAGATAGAGCCCTAATATCCTAGTTGTCTCTCTTTTGAACGGATATTAATTATTCATTCAATTTCTTTAATAGATATAGGTCTATTAATATTGTTTATTTATTTGTAGGTGAATTTTTGCTTTCAAAAAATTGGTTCACTGCATGCAGGTTATCAAATTTGTAGACATACAGTTCTTCAAAGTATTCTCTTATTGCCATTTTGATGTTTGTGGGCTCTGTAGTGGTGTGCTGTCTTTGAATTCTATTATTACTAATTTTGGTCCTCTCTTTTTCTTTTTCCTTATTAGAGGTTTATTAATTTTATTGACCTCTTCAAGAACTGGTTTTGGTTTCTCTGATTTTCTCTATTGATTTCCACTTTCCTGTCACTGATATCTGCCATAATTATTGCTGATTTCTTCTCCTATTCCTTAAATTTTCTTTTTCTAATTTCCTATGGTATAAATGTAGATTATTAATTTTTTTTCTTTTCTAATATATACATGCAATGTTATAAGTTTCCCTCTAGACACTGCTTTTCTACATCCCACAAATTTTGATAAGTTGTTTTTTTAAATTTTCATTTAGTTTAAAATATTATCTAATTTCTTCTGAGAGTTCTTTTTAAACCTGTGTCTTACTTAGAGAGGTGTTCTTTAATCTCCATTAAAGTATCTTGGGTTTTCCAGTTATTATTCTGTTACTGCTATCTAATTTATTTCCATTGTGGTCTGATAGAATACGCTCTATAATTTTTAGTTTTTTAAATTGTAATGTGTGTTTTATAGCTAAGAATATGTTCTAATTTGGTAAATGTTCCATGTGTACTTGAGAAGAATGTATATTCTGCTGTTGTTGGATAAAGTAGTCTGAAGATGTCAAATTATATACAGCTGATTGATGGTGAAGTTGAGTTCAACTATGTTCTCACTGATTTTTTCCTGCTAGGTCTGTCCATTTCCAATAGATAAGTGTTGGAAGTCTCCAACTATGAAGGTGGATTCGTCTATTTCTCTCTGTAGTTCTACTGGTTTTTGCTTCGCAGTTTGATGTTCTGTTGTTAGTTGCATACATATCAAGGATTG